AGAGACTGAAGTGCATCCAAGGAACGTGCTGTTGTGTGTTTGGTGGTGGAAGCGCAGTGGATTGTGTTCCACCATCTTCTACCTCGTGACCAACCAATGGCTGCGAAGCCGTGCTGTTGGCAACTCGCCAAGCTCACTGTGGAAATCAAAGCAAGAGAGGAGAATGGTATCATCTTCCACCGTGACAACGCTCGACTCCCAGTGGCTCAACAGGTTTCACAATCTGCGGAAGGTAAGGCGTGGAATTCTCTATCGGTAAGCTAAAATTCTCTTGGAACTGCTCAATTGAGCCCGATGCTCATTGGATTATTTGAATAGTTGGCACGAATGGAATGCGTGTGTCCCTTCTAGTCATCCAGCATGATGATGACATTGAATTTAATCTCAAACAGTTGAGGGTTAGTGGGTAGAGGTCAAGGCTAAAAAAGCTCATGTGGATGAAGAAACTCTTGTTTATTTACTACTTTTCCTTGTTTTAAAACGCTTTTACTGAAAATACAAGGTCCTTAAGCGTGCGTAAGCTATAAGCAGCAGGCCCAAATTTTGAAAATGGCTTCCAAGGTCGACATTGTGGACCGTTTAGACTGTCAAATAGTCTTAGAGAACTTGGGATAAAATCAAGGGCCGTGTGACGTCGCGTAGTGGCTACGACGATCCTTTCCGTGTGTCCGGTGTCTGCTAGGATCTGAGATACTTTTCGCACGTGGAGGGCTCTTGTGGTTTCGGTATCTCCAGATAATCAGGTGTGTGTGTGTGAGCGTATTTTATCTGCTTCGCGCCACACACGCATTCTAAATGTTAACACGTTTTCCTACTAATAAATCATCATGGTGGGGCGTAAAAACACTGCTAGAATTGGCAGCCAAGCAGGTGGAATGGGTAATCGTTGTTTCATGTCTGCAAACCTGCCTAACTAACCCCTAGCCCCCACCCCACCCTTACCCCGCTCACCACCCGCAACTCCAACACTGGCCCCCCCCACCACCACCACCACCTCCTCCTCCTTTCCCCACCGAAACTGGTTTTCGCGCACATTCCTTTGGAAGACTGGCGAATTCCAATGCTACCTGCATTCCTCCGGGAAATGGCTTTGACGAATGCTGGCGATTCTGTGTGAAACTTTTTTAATAGCTTGGGTTTATGACGGAGACAACAGCAAGCATACGCGAAAGCAGTCAAAGCATGCATATCTTTTCTGCAAAAATATTCAAGCTACTTCCATCGAGATGATAAGTTGTTCATGATTTAGCTACTTTTTTCATTTTTTGCGGCGAAAATGGGTTCCAGTGTTTTACACTGTTCAAGTCATTAACTGGAGCTAATAAGTTGACTTCGAGGGCATTTAGGGAAAATTGTGATTAAAGGGGATAAATACTTAACCAAAACTTTCAGTAATTACAACGAAAAATTCAAGCAAAGGAGTAGAAGCAGGTTATCTCCACAGTCACTCGGATTGGTTAATCTTACCATCCAGAAACTATTGTGTGGTTCTCGATTGAAGACATAGTCACAGATAAGGGATTGGTTTAGGGTTAAACTTGTGTGCAGATTTACAAATCAAGAATGCTGAACCTGTCAGGTGAATATTTCTTAATGCGAGCCTAGTTATCCAGCTGATTTCAGTAGCTAATTTGTTTTGACAAACACGAAGTGGCGGTTGACTTAGGGATTATCTTAGGTAAAAAGTCGCATGTTGAGTTAATTACTTGAACGAAATCAGCGACTCAGACATCGTCAGTCTGAGCTTTCAATCAGAGTTGCTGCGATTCGATTGGATTTGAAAACACCAAACATTCAAACAACGCAGACTAGAGTGTCGTTCAGTGGCTTCGTTTAGTTACTGAAGTGATGTAAGTAATTTTTGACCCGGCTTTATGGCCTGAACACCTAAATTTCCCAACATGGCTAGACGAAAATTGTATTACAGTAGTAATACATAAAACTCCCAAACGAATGCACACCCAGAAAAAGCAGATGACACCACCAATTGTCTGAGTAATACTCTTTTCTACAAATGATTTATCTTCATCTGAAAAAAAAGACCAGAAACGTGGTCGGGTCTGAGAGTATTGGTTCTGAAAAGAAATGCTCTAATGCAGTCCACATTTCTTAATCTTATTTAGGTGGGGTTTTGCTAAATTAAGTCAGTAGATATAACAGAGTGCCTAACCACCGGCTGGAAATATCTAGCAGTTTGATTTTTTACTGTGATGTAAAAATTGTCAATATGATGTTTATAGACTTGTGAAAAATACCCTTGTACCAATATGGGAACTAAATGCTAAATAATCGCCTCATTTTGTCGAACAGAATCCAACATCAAATCGGACATTTTTGAATCAACTTTAGCGGCAAAAATGCAGTTTGAAGTTTTCAATGAGGAGAGAGGGACATAACCGGGTTCCAGGGAGACCACGGCACCAGCCAGCCAATCCAGTCGCTATTTCGACGGAGCTGGTGGTCTTGACATTGCAAAAGGGTCCAATGGTGCTATCGACAGCTTTCGATCGACTGATTCGGCGATACTGCATCGCTCATTTCCTCCTGGCGAGGAGCGTTATAGTTGCCATCTTGA